AGAGAGAGAGAGTGTGTGTGTGTGTGTGTGTGTGTGTGTGTGTGTGAGAGAGAGATTTTTTTGATTTTTACAATCACTTTATAAAAACAATTGTTCTTCAAACATTACATCACTTTACACATAAAAGGAAATTAAATAAATTACATATTTACATCAACTCTCTTATAAAAACATTTTTTCCATCAACAACTGAACATAGAGCATTACAACACCACTGAATTTCAAAAACATTTATCGTACTCATTATGAAAATTAAAGTCAGTAAGGATTCTTGCTTTTACTTCTCCATATATCACATAAATCATGCGTTTCAATCAGTTGTATCAGTGTTTTCTGAGAAGCAATATGTGGTTCTATATGATTTCTATCCAACTTATCATTAACGGTACAATTAAAATCTCCACCTATAAATAACAACTCCTCTGGATTTAAACCTTTCAAAACAGCATCTACCTTTTTAAAAAAAGTAACTCTTTCTGCTCCTTTATTAGGTGTATATAAATTCATGAGCACCATAGTAGTTTTCTCAAAATTTACTTTAATTTTTAAAAACCGACCTCCAATTATTTCATCAACTACACAAGATAAAGGTAAAAAATTTTTGGAAAATAAAACGGCAACCCCTCCACTAATAGAGGATTTATGACTTAGGACAATTTGTCCATCCCATTCTTTTCTCCAATCTGTCTCATTTTTAAAATCACTGTGTGTTTCCTGTAGAAACACAATATCAATTTGCTTTTGTCTAATAAACTCAAATAACATCATTCTTTTATGACCGTCTCTGGCACCATTTAAATTTAAAGTTCCGATTTTAAAATGTGTCATAATTATTTTAGAGACCAGAGCAAAAAAATACATAAAAGTTGCCAAAAGAACTATTTTTAGCTTCATCATCCTTGGTAGATTTGTTTTTTAAGTTTGTTCCCAAGTTTCCTAAGACGGTAAACCTCTACATCTTGAAAAGCTCCTTCTTTCATTAGATACCTTACATCATTTATGAACTGTTTGCAATCAGGAAAAAAATCTTCAACTTGCACTCCTTTCATTCCCTTTGTATCTTGCAGAAATCTGCTAATGTCATCCGCTCTATACAAGCAAATCAAGTTTTCATTTTGAGAACTAACAGACAGATCTGAACACTGAGACATGTTTGAATCAGAGGAATCTCTATCACTGTCTGAACCCACATTCTCACTACCACCATCATCTTTCTTGACTTGTTTAATAGCCTTTCCACAGCTTTTTTTTCTTTCTTTTAACCGGGATTTTAAAGACAGTTTCTACTTCCTCAAAATCAACATCATTGTCTTCGACATCCATTTCTCCAGCGTCTGCCGCCGCCACACAAGCGTTTTCAGAATGTTCAGACTGCTCCCCGGACATCAGAAGAGACTCATCTTTACTAGACTCAGTAACACTCGCTGTTGTATCAGATTCGATCTCTGCAGCTTCAACTGCAATCGGCTCGTTTGCTTCTGCTGCAGACGTACTGGCAGTCTCCTTGTCACCCGCGGTCCCAGCCGGAGCAAGCGCAGAAACTACTGGTTCTGAGTTTGTGCTCGTACCTGCGCTGTCCTTTTTATTAGGACAATCACGAACAAGATGCCCGATTTTACCGCAATTAAAACATTGAATTGTAGTGTCAGATGTTGCAAACACTGTGTAATCGAAACCATCAATTTTGAACTTGAAAATCAAATCGATCTCATCAGTTCCATTTTTCAGCACCATGAAAACGTGTCTTCTAAACGAGACTAGATGTTTTACCAATGGTGACTTGCACCCAAGAGGGATTTTTTTGATAGGGGAAACCAGTTTTCCATAACGAGATAATTCTTGTATCAATACTTCATCTTTGATAAACGGAGGTACGTTGGACAGTATAACCTTTTTAGACGGGCTACTCAAAGGCAAAACAGGCACGAGTGAACCATTCAACACCACGCCGTTTTGTACAGCGTCATTTGCCTTTTCAACTGTTTTAAAGAAAAGAACAACTGCACTGTTCATCCGTGATGCAGAAACAATATTATCATGTCCCACAATCTCTCCCACCGCTAAACAACACTGTTCCACATTGACTTTAGACTCCACCTTCACTCCATGACGGCGGGTTAAATTATCAAAACTCATTGTGTTTTGGTTCGTCATGCCTCCCAGCATAACGCTGGTTGCAGACGCAAAACACCCATAAATGCTAAACAGCCAAACAATTCAACACATAAAAAACAAACACACACAAAAAAGACAGAAGATAGAAAAGTTTTTAGCACACAGCTACAACCGCACTCACCCTCACCACACTCCGTTCACTCCCAGCATGCACTCCGAGAGACAGAGAGAGAGAGAGAGTCCACTCAGTAAGCTGGTTCTGAGACTTACTAACCTGACTAACTCTACTAACACTATCCAGTCTCAAACCAGCACTGCTTCTCATCCAAACATCAAAATACATCAAATTATCAAACAATCTAAAAATACATATCTGGAACATTGGGATCAAGAAACTAAAACACAAAGTAAATTACAATTCTATCGAACCCTAAAATCAGAGAGAGTGAGTGTGTGTGTGTGTTTGTGTGTGTGAGAGAGAGAGAGTGAGTGTGTATGTGTGTGTGAGAGAGAGAGAGAGTGTGTGTGTGTGTGTGTGTGAGAGTGTGTGTGTGTGTGTGTGAGAGAGAGAGTGTGTGTGTGTGTGTGTGTGTGTGTGTGAGAGAGAGAGAGAGAGAGTGTGTGTGTGTGTGTGTGTGTGTGTGTGTGTGAATGTGTGTGTGTGTGAGAGAGAGAGTGTGTATGTACATGTATATATGTATGTATAAATAAACAGGACACTTAAAATGATCTGCTTTAAAGCCCACTGTAGGGAATCAGTCCAGGTGGGATATTCCCGTCCCCTATGAGCTGAGTGTTAATCTCAGTAAGATTTCAGATTTCTCATCTTTTAAATATTGAATGTAACTTTCATATTGTTTTCCACTCAGTTGTGTTTGTTGTTATAGGTAAGAACTCTAAAGGAGTCATTCTGAGAGCCTTCGAGCAGTTCAGACTGAAATCATGTGTCGACTTTAAGCCCAGAGCAGCGGAAGAGTTTTACATCTCTGTGGAGAGTCGTAAAGGGTACGCTACGCTTCAAATGAGTAATTAGCAATATCAGTAATATATTATAGACTGGTCTGATACGGCATGTGCTATAGTGAATGTGTAGAGTAATTTAATTTGAGTGAATTATTTACTAGTCAAAAGTTCCGACACTTTTCCTCGTAAAGGCTTTTATCAAATAAGGTCTTTAAACACAATAAATAAAGCTCTTGTATAATCTGACTAGTAGTGTTGCTACCTTTATGCAGCTATGTGTTGTGTGACTGTGAGTGATTCCGCAGGTGTTGGTCATATATCGGACGCTCGTCTCCTGGAGGACAGCCTCTTTCCATTGGAGAGCGCTGTGGAATAAAAGGCATCGTTGAGCACCAGTTTCTCCACGCTCTGGGACTGAACCATGAGCATTCGAGATATGACAGAGACGAATACGTGACCATCAACTATGAAAACATCGTGAAAGGTTGCTACATCATTTTATTATTCATGTTTAGTACTGTTTCTAAGGAAGCACTGTAAAATAGTGATTAGATTAAAGGGGTCATATGATGCTTTTTTAAAGATCATTATTTTGTGTATTTGGTGTAACAGAATATGTTGGCATGCTTTAATGTTCAAAAAACACATTATTTTTCAAATACTGTACATTATTGTAGGTCCTCTATGCCCCGCCTCTCTCAAACGCTTCGTTTTCTACAAAGTCCCTCCTTCCGACAAGCGCAGTCTGCTCTGATTGGCCAGCTGACCCAGTGCATTGTGATTGGCCGAACACCGCAAGCACTCGTCGGAAATGTAACGCCCCTTACCATAATCGCAGCTTCAGCTTTCAAAATAAATGTAAAGACAGTAAATAATGTCATCGTTTTACCATCAGTTCAATCCCGAAAGGGGAACAGAGTCTCGTGACAGACACAGTGATGAAGCTGGTATGTGTTTGCAGTACACAAGCCACGCTTTCTCTCTCTCTCTCTCTCTCATGTGTGCGCATGCGTGGGCGTTTGCTGAGTGAGTGGAGTGTGAATCAGAGCGAGACTGTGGAGTCCTTTCCCTTTTCAAAGGTCTGTTTACTTAAGTGTTGTTTCTCTCACTGGTTTTATTTAAGCTTTTTTTACTGTGTATGGTCACAAAGTTCTGAAAATATTGTGGTGGGGGGTTGTGTAACCAGTGGCTGCCATGGCAAATGCGGAGACGGAGAGTTATGAGCAACTCACCCGGCAGCATGGAATAAAAGTGCCGGTTGGAGCTGAGTGCTCGGTTGAAGAATGTGTGTTAGTGGTAGGAGAGGTGGTTGGTCACAGTAGTATTCGTTCGGCGTCTCGAATGAACGGTGCTGTGGTGTTATTTTTGGACAAAGTTGAAAAAGTGAACACAGTAGTTGAAAATGGGATAGTCCTCAATGGTAGTTTGATTAAGGTTTTCCCACTTGTTAATCCAGCAAGAAAAGTGTTGCTTTCTAATGTGCCCCCATTTATTAGTGATGAAGCACTGAAACGCAAATTATCTCATTATGGACAGTTGGTTTCTGCGATTAAGAAAATCCCCCTAGGCTGCAAATCTCCATTGTTGAAGCACGTTGTGTCTTTCCGCAGACAAGTGCATATGATTTTGAGGAGTGATATTGATGAACTGAATATTACTTTTAAATTTAAAGTTGATAGTTTTGATTATCTAATCTTTGTAACAACTGAGAGCATGAAATGCTTTGGATGCCGGAAGGTGGGCCATTTGGTACGCGCTTGTCCAGAAAGAAACGCGTCAAAGGTTTCAGATGTTGAAAGTGGGTCTAATAAAGGTCAGAGTGTGGAAAAAGAAAGTGAAGTTGGTGAGGTTTCGGATTTGAGTGTGGACAAAGAAGATCTAGGAAGTGGAGTAAAGAATAGTGAGAAACGAATTTAAAAAATGATGAGACAATGGATATTGTTTTTGATGAGATAGAGGGTGAAATACTTAAAGAGGATGAAGAGGTATTTAAAGTGCCGGCAGTGAAGAGGAAGTCGAATCTTTGTGAGATGGAAAATACATCAAAGAAAAAGGCACATGATGAGATTGTTACTGAAAGTTCTGAGGAAGTTTCGAATGTAAGTGAGGTGTCTGGCTCAGAAAGTGAGCGAGATTGTTCTGAAGTGGAAGTTGAGGGAAATATGAGTAAAGATTATAGTGGTTACAGTTTGGAAAGAATTAAACAGTTTCTGCAGCGTACAAAAGGAATGAGGAATGTGGAGGTTATAGATTTTTTTCCTGATCTTTCGTTATTCATTGACTCAGCAAAGATTCTTATGAAACAGAAAGGTGAAATATGTTTGTCAAACCCTGAGGTGTATCTTTTAAAAAGATTGTACAAAAGGTGCGTCCTCAGACAATGCATAATGATATGTCACAAGAATAATGGAGTAATGTGGATTTGATTTTTTGTGCTTTTTTCATCCCTCATAACGAGTAATTTTAAAATATCTTCCCTGAATGTAAATGGGGCGAGGGATGTAAGCAAAAGTGCTGCGCACGCTCCGCTCTCGCCTGGCCGTGTTTGATGAGAGCGGCCAAGCTCGCGATCCCGCTGGCAGCGGCCCCACTGTTGCCGAGGCACAGCGCAGACTGTTGTCATGGGGATCGCAAGTGGATTTAGCGGAGGGATCCGAGTCGGGCTCGTCCTTTTCTCGGTCCTCACCCGCTAGATCCGCGGCTCTCTCTCAGGGTTCGGAAGCCCGCGCTGCGGTTTCTTCCCCCCGGAGAGAGAGCCAGGCACTTCATCTATCTTCCTCCGAGGAGGTAGAAGTGATGAGTGTCGAGACAGAGGAGATGGTGGACTCGCCACCGCAGTCCCTCGCGTATGAGGAGCTCGTGGAGGTTGTGACTCGTGCTGTATCCAAATTAAATATCGATTGGCCAGCCGAGAAACAGGACGCTCGTTCTAAGAGCAAATTAGACGAGCGTTTCCTGAAAGCGAGGTCACAGCTGGTGGACTCGCCACCGCAGTCCCTCGCGTATGAGGAGCTCGTGGAGGTTGTGACTCGTGCTGTATCCAAATTAAATATCGATTGGCCAGCCGAGAAACAGGACGCTCGTTCTAAGAGCAAATTAGACGAGCGTTTCCTGAAAGCGAGGTCACAGCCTTCACGACGGGGCCTTCCGTTTTTTCCCGATCTCCATGCCGAGGTGTCAAGATCATGGGAAAAACCGTATTCTTCCCGTATAGATAGCCCCACAGTCTCTAATTATTCTAATATCGTGGGGCTGAATGAGAAGGGATATGGGGCGATGCCAATGGTGGAGCAGACGCTCGCGAGCTATCTCTCCCCATCCTCAGCATCGTCCCTGAAGGCCCCGAAGCTTCCCACCAGGCCTGTTAAGCTTACATCTAGTCTGGTTGGGAAAGCTTATACGGCAGCAGGTCAGGCTGGCGCATGCTTGCACACCATGGCGGTGTTACAAGCGTACCAGGCTGACCTGCTCAAGGACCTGGATGACAGGGAGGAGGGGGAA